GGTGATATTTGAATTACAACTTAGAAGTAGACACGTGCAGGTAGGTGGACAAGACCGTATAAGGATAGTCAGAGGAGAAAGTAGGACAGTACTTGTTTAATAGTTATTGATTCATTTTCCATGAGCTGGGCACTGCCTGTGACCCAGGAGTGAAGTAGGCACAGAGAGCACAGCACAGTCCGTGACTCATGAGGTACACAGCTCAAGATGATGGACAAATAGAACAAGATCATCTGAGACACCAGCACCTAGACTGACAGTGCTGGAACAGAGACAGGTCGGGGAGCTGTAGGGATAGATTCCGTGTCCCTTGAGCACTGGCTACTTTTGTAACATATGGCAAGGCACCACCTTTGCTCTATGATTAGCCTATAGAAATGATTTGCCATCTTTAGACATTTTCAAATAGCTGGATTTCCTTCTGCATTTGAAGATTCCACAGAAGACTGGACTTGAAGCTTCTTGTACATAGCAGTATTGCCTCTCCTTGCTTATATTTCCCATTTTAACTGGTCCCAGAGGGAGTGACCCCACCTCTTGTGTTCCTGCACCACTCCAACCATCAGCAATATCTCTGTGACAACCAGCACCTGTGAGTAGGCTCATCCCTGTGGGTCAGCCTCTTGTGCACTCTATCTCATGGTGACCTCTCTTGTTTGTACAGGTGGCAACACTGCCAGAATATTTGAGAAAGAGGTTTGGTAGCGCCCGGATCCAGGTCCTCGTTTCTATTCTGTTTATACTCATTGATTTCCTCACTAGGATCTTGGTGAGTTTCATAAAAGCCAGACTTAAAAGAGGACTCCCCTACCCATGTAAAAAAAAAAAAAAAAAAAAAACAACAATAACAACAGCCACAGGTCTACGCTAAATTATCCTAGCAATTTACTCTGGGGCTATGTAAATTACTTGTTGGCCTCTACTGTGTAAGTTAGTTTAATGGTGTTTAATGTTACTATTAAAAATTTAATAATCCTTTGCAAAAAATAGAAAGCAGAGGCAGCTTTGGATCTCTCAAGCATAGGTTACACATCCCTCCTGGGTATTGCCAGAGAACTTTGGGATTACTCTCTTCATGTCATTAAGTAATGTGCTAAAAAAAAAAAAAAAAAAAAATCCAGGAGTGTCTGCATCCTTATAAGAAAACTTTAATTCTTGAGTAAAACCATAAGGGCTGGCCTGTGCTAGCCCCAGCCCGCCTCTCTGGACTACTTTCCTTATTTCCTCTCCATTGTTCATACTGCCTGCCCTATTGGTTTTAAAACACACTAGCTTATTTCTACTTCAAGCCACTGACCCTTGTTCTACAGTCTGTCTTCCGTATTCTACTTCTAGATTTTTATGTGCCTGACTCCCCATTGTTCCTTCAAGGAGAAATGTAATCTCCTTGGAGAGGTCTACCAAGAATATACCTAGTCAGTCGTGCCTCTATTTCTATTTTTCTTGTAATGCTTATCATCATGTGATAGTAATTTATTTGTGTACTTGTTTATTATCTGTTCTGTGACTCATTGCAAGCTTCCTGAGTGCAAGGCCTGGACTGACTTGCTCACTATATTTCTCCCTGTGCTAGGACCATGTTTAACAGTTATGGCACTTGATAGATTTTCTTTTTGCATAACCAAATGAATGGCCTTTTTTTTACACTACGTGGAATATGTCTGTGTAGTAGTCTCTTGCCTTTATTCAATATATGCTCCTTAAGGACCGAGACTAAGTTTTGACAACCCTTGTGCGTTCTGAAATCCACGGAGTGTCTACACCATGGTTGGCATTCAGTAAGCATTTGGTGAATAAATGAATAGATGAATCTGTGCCCATTGCATCCTTGGCTTTAAAGATTAGAATAACAAAGCAGTAGATTAGCCAGTTAAATGATGTGCAGATGTTTCAAAATCAGTGTCAACTACTAAGCCAGGGGTCAACAAATCTGGTCCACTGGCCAATCCAGCTAATGATCTTCTTTGTACAGCCCTTGAGCTAAGAATTATTTTTTTTAATATAGCTTTAAAAGGTTATAAAAAAACAGAGACAATGGTAGCCCACAGTGCCTATAATATTTACCATCTGGCCCTATGGAGAGAAATGTTGCTGATCGCTGAGAAGCTGTCCCCATGGCTTTGTCTCAGTGGCAGAGCTGTAAGAAAAACTAACTCTCTGAGCACATTCCCATTCTGCGCCTCCAGAGTAAAAGAGGCTAAATTGTATTAACTAAATTGGGTTAACTCAAGCCGTAAAAGACTGGCCTTGGCTGAATTTGTAGGTTACAAGACTTGGGTAGATCTTACCTGGCATTCACAGGTGATGGGATACTAGCCAGAGACAACCTCTTGCATATGTTTGCCAATTTCTCCCCATCTCCTTTTTTCTCAGAATTTTTTTATACCACTGGAAATGAAGATGCCTCTTGTTGACCTTGTACTCGTTTCAGGTGGAAGTCTGCTATGGCGCCATGTTTGTGAAGATTGCTTGGGACATGGATGTTTACCAGGTCACACTGGTATTGCTGGTGATTTCTGGCATTTATACCTTCACAGGTGAGATCACTTCAGCAACACAAGCATTTATATTGATCCAAACACTCTATTGACTGAAGTCCTATTAGACATTGAAGCAGAAGTCTCCAGTTTTGGCATTTTTCCCTGTCTGCATCACAAGGCAAATAAGGAAGGCAGGAGCATTAAAAATCAAAGAAAGTAAAATAATAATAATAATAATAATAAAAGATCAAAGAAAGTAGCATCCTACCATTAAAAATCAGATTGTGTTGGTCTCTCCAAGGGGTATGATAGCATCGGCAACAATTGTGTTTATGGTAAAGTAAGGCCTAATTTTGCAGGTCACCAAGTAACAGAGTGGGAATACAGAAAGGAAATGAAATGGAAATATAGTCTTTAGGCCACCAGCCAAGCCTCTGGATCTTTTATGTAGGCAGGTCTGTCCTAGGCAGCCTTTACCCAGGTATTAAGAATGGGAGGTGTTCTCACTGATTTTTTCCAGCTACAGTGCAAATCTTGGATGCTGATGTGTGTCTGTAAACTGTTCACCAGAGTCCAAGTGGACAAAATCAGAGTGTGGAGTAGACTGTATTCAATCAATGGTTTACATTATATGGAAAGAGATGTTAGATTTAGTTTCTCAGGGGACATTTGGTGATGTTTACAGGCATTTTGGGTTGCCACGGTTGGACAAAGGGTACTGTCTAGTAGGCAGATACCAGAGATGCTGCTGTTGCTTCCACACTGAACTTTTGTGATGACAGATGTACATTCTGGCTTAGGAAAACTACCCAGACTGTCATCCATCTGAAAAAAAAGGCAAGGGAAATTGGGACAAAGAGAGGCAAGATAAAAATCTCACAAATGCATGGTGAGAGACATGGGTCTAATGTTTGTGTTAGGCGTGTGGAAAGCAAGTATTTTCCAGCACCATTTATTAGAGGCTATCTTTATTCCAGTGAGGTGGGGTGTTTGGCCCCTTTGTCAAAGATAAGGCGGCTGAGTGTGTTTGGAGTTGTTTCTGCATCTTCTAATCTGTTCCACTGACCCTCCGGTCTATTTTTTGTTTGTTTTGTTTTGTTGCCAGTACCATGCTGTTTTTATCACAGTAGCTTTGCAGTATGCAACTGAATTTGGTTATTAAATCTAAAGGTCTTTTTGTGGAGTTTTGGGGGTCTTCTGTGTAGAGTATCATGTCATCTGCAAATAATGGTAATTTACTTCCTTCTTTCCTGTCTTTCTTCCTTTTATTCTTTTTTTTTTTTTTTTTTTGTCTAATTGTTCTGGCTAATGTTTTCAGAACTACCGTGAACAGGAATGATGACAGTGGACATCCTTGTCTTGTTCCTAATTTTAGAATGAAAGCTTTCAGTTTTTGTCTATTTAGTAGGATATTGGCTATTGGTTTGTCATAGATGGCTTTTATCAGATTGAGATAAAGACTCTCTATTCCAATTTTCTGAGTTTTTATCATGAATGGGTTTGGACTTTATTAAATGCTTTTTCTGCATCTATGGAGATAATCTTGTGATTTTTACCTTTGGCTCATGCACTAAACTAAAATCAAAATGCATCAAAGATTTAAATATTAAAACAGAAACACTAAATTTGCTGGAAGATAGGAAGGTAGAACTCTCGAAGACATAGGCATAGGCAGACTATATGAACAAAACCTAGACCACAAGGGAAATATTACAAAGATTAACTAGGATCTCATTTTATTAAAAAGCTTTTGCACAGCAAAAGAAATCATCAACAGAGTGAAGAGACAACCCACAAAGTAGGAAAAAAATTTTACCAGCTTTTCCTCAAAGGACTAATACCTAGAATATATAAAGAACCCAAAAAAATCAGACCCCCCCATTTAAAGACCCAATCCAAAAATGGGCATCTGAAATGAATAGACACTTGTCAGATGAAAAAGTACAAACGGCAAATAAATATATGAAAAAATGTTCAGCATCACTGGTCATTCAAGAGATGCAAATTAAAACAACACTGACAATCCATCTCACCCCAGAAAGAATGGCTACTATCAAAAAATTAACCAATAACAAATGTTGACAGGGCTGTGGGGGAAAAGGAACCCTTCTCCACTGTTGGAGACAGTGAATGAATAAAGATGTGGGGTTTTTTATATAATGGAGTACTGCTCAACCATAAAGAAGGATGAACTTCAGACATTTATAGATAAAAGGATGCACCTTGAGACCATACTCTTAAGTGAAATAAGTAGAACATGTGTAAATATTGCATTGTTTCTCTGGTGTGAGAAATCAAAAGTGTAAATAAGGACCAGCATGTATACTAGATATTATGAAATAGGAAGAATATGCTCAATTGGGGAGAACTATGGAGCGGGGAAGGGAAAAGGAAAGGAAAAGAAAGAAATGGGAAAAGAAGGAAAAATGGAAACAAAGCTTTTATCAATAAAGAAGGAAGAAGGGTTGAAGAGAGAGTAAGGGAATGGGGAGAAAAAAAGAATTGAGATGTCATGTATAAGGACAAAGCCCCTATGATGAATGTGATCATTATGTATATTTAAAATGTACCAATAAAATTAATTAATTAAAAAAAGAAAAAATCTCACAAATGATCATAAAGAATATTAAAGAGAAAAAATAGGATGTACCAAAACTAAGTACAAGTAGTTGAAAGAGCTGATTTAAAGCGATCAGACATCTGAACATGGAGGTCTCCGGGGAGAAAGGCATACAGATTCAGAAGCTACTGTCAACAGAGTCAGATGTGGCCTTACTTTTCCTCCTCTTTCTCTTCAGGTGGTTTGGCAGCTGCAATTTATACTGAGGCTTTACATGCTGTTGCTATGCTTTTGGGGTCCATTGTGTTAATGGTCTATGGTAAGTAAAACTTAAGAAGACTGAGCCCCAAGTGTGGACTGTTTGGATTGAAAGTTGCCCGGGGCCATCAGTACCTTCATCTCATGGACAGGGAGGATGCCGCTCTTACTTTGGTCTTCTTTAAGACAAGGTCTCGCTGTGTAGTTCAGGCTGGCCTTTAGCTCACTTTATAGCCCAGGCTGGTCTTGAACTCACAACAATCCTCCTGCCTCAGCCTCCTGAGTGCTGGGATTACAGGTGTGCGCCACCAGGCCCGATGCTGCTCTTAGAACTTACAACATTATCATAAGCCATGCTGAAAGTTGGGGAAGAAACCTCTGCTCATTTCTGGGGAAAAAGATGTCAAGGCATAAAGTGGAGATGCCAGACTCCAATGCTCGGGTCCACTCCTCTCATCTCCACGTCTGTGCATCCTCCTTGTTCTTCCTCTCCAGTTGGAAACCCCTTTCTTTTTGTCCATCAGTTAAACCCATCTGTCAAGGTCAATGGAAGATCCACCCCCAAAGGTATGACTCTATCAGTATTCCATCAGCACATCTTTATTCTCTAACTCTAATCACTAGCACACAATTTAACATATATATATATATATATATATCTTACTGATTTGTTGATTATTTCACATAAATAAATCACACCCTCCAGATCCAAAACTTCCAGATCCCACACAAAGTATCCTCTACCCAAAGTACAGCCTGATGCATTAAGTACTTACTTAATGAATAGGTGCTTATTAAATTATGACAATGAAAATAATAGCTGATATGAAATGTCAGGTATGTAGACATTTATCTATTGCCTCATAATCACAGTTATCATAAGGCATAAATACTTGAGTTACCCCCATTTTACAGATGAAGAAACTGAGTCTCAATTACGTGTCTTGTTTATGAAACACACTGAGAGCAAGACATAGCAAGAGCTGGATCTCTCTAAGATCAAAGCCTAATATATAAACTAACGTATTATAGTACCTGTAATGGCAAGTAAACTTACCTTAAAATGAAAATTTCCTCCCACAAATAGGAAGGTGAGCTTAGCAGTGTTTTTGTGACCATGGCTCAGACTAGTCTTGCAGAAATTTAGACAGAAATGCTCTTGACGTAGCGGGTAAGGAATTAGTGAAATGCTACATGGGTACATTTGAAGGATTATGTTATGTTTCCAGAGGGTGTATTGTTGAACCATGTGGGATGAGAACAGATAGAATGAAATGGAATCAGTGCTCGATCTGACCGTGCAAGAAGCATTAGTACTCTGAAGTACACTCGGTACTGTTTTGCTACAACGCAAAAAATAGGTCAGGCATGGTCTGAGGAACTGGATCACTTTTAAATGCAATGAGAAGCAATAAATAATTTGAGTGACAAAAATGGAAACTACAAACCCAATAAACCACTGTATTTACTTGCATGCTAGTTTTATATATCAACATTTTAAAACCTGTTAAGTCTACCCCAGATGTTGATTATGGCATCCAGTAAAATAAACTTGAGGAGCATGTGGAATATTCCAGTTAGCATCAGTAACTATATCTCTAAATAATGATATATTCTTTATTGAGTAGTTGAATGGAATTTTTATTTGGGGTGTTCAGATTAGTTTCTTTGAGACATACACATGGTAAAGTAATTCAATGACTGTTTTCTTTTAAAAATATGCAAGGCCTGGTACATTCAAAGTTGTTTTTCAGTCTGGTCACTACAGGAACCCATGAGCATACAATTACATTTTTGTTTTTAATTTTAAGTAAGCAGGGCTGGGGATTTAGCTCAGCGGCAAAAGCGCCTGCCTGGCATGCGCAAGGTCGTAAGTTCGGTTCCCGGTACCGGAGAAAAACCAAAAAAAATAAAAAATAAAAAATAAAAAATTTAAGTAAGCAAAAGAGTACACGATGAAATACGGGTCACCTTCAGTTCTCTGTTCCATTCCTCAGAGGTGACCAGCTATACATTTTATGAACATCCTTCCAAAGATATTCTTCACATATACAAACATTTTTATACATGAAATATATATTTTAATAGAATCAAAAAATAAAGTTTACAGAGGTGCAGCTGGATGCAAAGAATAACTTCTAATAGCATAGTAGGATAACTATGGTTAACAAAATTTGACTAATTTCAAAATAGCTAGTAGAAAGGATTTTTGAATGTTTCAAACACAAAGAAATGATCAGTGTGGGAGGTGATAAATATAGTTACTCTGATCTTATCATTACATGTTTTATACAAGTGTTGATGTGTCATGCAGCTTTGACAAGTGATGCCCCCAATTACTTTATATCCCATAAATACATACAACTGCTAGGTGTCAACAAAATTTTTTTTGAAAATACAGTTTTATAGCCTGTTTTACTATCACTGGCACTATCATATAAGCATATTTCCATGTCAACAACTAGAGATCTACTGCATCTTTTTAGCTTTGTATATGTAATTTCTTTTTATACCAGGAAGTGAACTCATGACCTCGCGCTTGCCAAGCAGGCACTGTGCCACTGAACTAAATCCTCAGTCCCTACGTAATAATTTTTTACTAAAAATACACAAATCAAAGTGTAATACCAGATGAAATATCACAAAGAGAACACATACCCTGGTGACCAGCCCTCAAATCAAGAAATGGTGTTTTTATTTTTTTCCTTACAAACTCTATATTTTGGGGTTTTTTTCTTGTCTTGTAGCACTGGCCAAGGCCAATGGTAGATTTGAATAAAAATGGGGATGATGGGCACCCTTGCTAATCCCCAGTCTGGAAAGGGAAATCTTTGAATAATTCATCATTAAATAAATATTTGATGCTAACTTCTTGTAGATACCCTTGCCCAGACTAATAAAGTTTCTTTCTATTTCTAGGTTGCAAGGATTATATACCACAAGTAGTTTTTTAATTGTATCAAGTGCTTTTATTGCACCTACTGAGATGATTGTATCATTTTTCTCTTTTCTCCTTTTCACTACTGACACAGTGAACTATGCTGACTTGGTTTTGAATATTAATTTAATCTTACATTCTTAAAATAAGCTCAGCTTTGACAAGAGATACCTAAAATTCCTCTCCAACATGGCTGTACTACCTTGCATTCTCAGTAGTATATGAGAGTGTGTTTCCTAACCCCGCCCCCAGGCAGCTCTTGGTATTTTAAAAACTTTTTTTAAAGTGCCCATGTCATAGATTCTTTTTAAAGTGTGTCATTTTTGTTTTAAGTTGAAGTGTGTCAGACACTGGTAAGGCTAAGCATCTTGTCGTTTACTTAATGGCACTTGTATTTTCCCTTTTATGAATTACCTGCATGTATTCCATTCCCTATTTCTTTTCAGTAGTTTCCCTTGTGTATATATAGGAATCATTTATATATGATGTCACTCTTTCACACTAGCACATTTTTAATTTCTCTATAATTTTAAATTTTGAGGTCAAATTTATCAACCGTTCTTCTTCTGTTCATATCTTCTTTAAGATTTACTCAGTAACTGAAGATTAAAAGATATTTCATTGTCTCCTAATACCTTTGTAATTTTGTCTCTCATTTTTTTTTTCTTTCTTTCTTTTCATTGTTTTAGTTTGTCTTGTCTGTAGGCACAGTAGGGATTGAACCCAGGACTTAAATCATAATGCTAGGAAAGTGCTCCACCAGTGAGCTACATCCTCAGCCCTTTATTGTTTTTTTTCTGTTTGTTTGTTTTTAAGAGCAAAATGTATTTATTGAGGGAAAGAAAGCTTCTGTTCAAGAGAGGGACAGAGGGGGCCTGAGTGGGTTGCCAAGGACCCTGCCCTTCCCAGGGACTTCATAGAGCAAAACCACGAGGTGAGGCGGGTCCAAGATAGGGGAAAATGGGAAATTACAAGGTGGGTATGAGGTGGGACAAAACTATGGTCAACCAATAAGATTACAAGTATAATTGTTCAGGTAAAAATTGATTAAATTGGGATCAAATGGGGAAGAGAGTAGCAAGTGGGTATGAATATAGAACAGGGGCTTTTCCTGTAGGGGGTTGGGTTAGTGACTCTTCCTGGCTTTGTTTTTTTTTTCTTT